CTGTTTCAGTACACATTCTTGCACTTGACTGGATACAAGGATATGACTTTTGACCAGCTAAAGTCGTACCATTCCGACCGCGTTGATGCACTGTGCCCAGGCCACCCCGAAATTGAGCACGAAGGTATCGAGGTTACAACAGGGCCTCTGGGCCAGGGTATCGCCAATGCTGTTGGTCTCGCCATGGCTACCAAGAACCTTGCTGCCAAATTCAACCGACCTGGCTACGATGTCGTCTCGAATCATACTTGGTGCATGATTGGCGATGCGTGCCTCCAGGAGGGTGTCGGACTCGAGGCCATTTCCTTCGCTGGACACCTCAAACTCAACAACCTGACTGTCGTCTACGACAACAACCAGATCACCTGCGATGGATCCGTCGACTTGACCAACACGGAGGATGTGAATTCTAAAATGCGTGCTTGTGGTTGGAATGTGATCGATATCGAGGACGGCTGCTATGATATCGAGGGCCTCGTTCAAGCACTGGAACGTGCTCGTGCATCTCAAGAGAAGCCAACGTTCATCAACGTGCGAACAGTGATTGGTCTGGGCAGCAAGGTCGCAGGCATGGCGGCCGCCCATGGTGCGGCCTTTGGATCTCCTGACGTTGCCGATATGAAGAGGGCCTATGGATTCAACCCTGACGAGACATTTGTCATTGGTGACCAAGTCCGTACTTTCTTCCATGAACTTCCTTCTCGGGGAGAAGCATTCGTTCGAGACTGGAACTCTCTGGTCAAGCAATATAGCGCAAAGTACCCCGAGCTGGGGGCAGAGTTCCACCGCCGTATGCGCGGAGACCTTCCTTCCAATTGGAAGGACCTTATTCCTTCTGAATTTCCAGAGAAGCCCACAGCCTCGAGAGCGTCTTCTGGTTTGGTCTTCAATCCAGTTGCTAAAGAAATTGAGAACTTCATGGTCGGAACTGCTGATCTCTCCCCATCGGTGAACATGATCTGGCCAGGGAAAGTAGATTTCCAACACGTGAGTAGAATCCGTTCAAGCATATCGACCCACACTGACCATTCTTAGCCCGATTTGAAAACCACATGTGGCATCAATGGAAACTACTCCGGTCGGTATATCCACTATGGTGTTCGTGAGCATGCGATGTGTGCCATTTCCAATGGCATGGCCGCCTTTGCTCCCAACACTTTTGTCCCCATCACCTCATCATTCTTCATGTTCTACCTCTATGCTGCACCTGCCGTTCGAATGGGTGCCCTTCAGCATCTTCAGGTCATCCATGCGGCGACTCATGACTCGATCGGAATGGGTGAAGACGGCCCGACACATCAGCCCATAGAACTCGCAGCTTTGTACCGCGCTATGCCCAATCTTCTGTACATTCGCCCCGGTGACAGCGAAGAGACAGCTGGCGCATGGATTGCAGCAATTGAGGCCAAGAAGACCTCCACAATCATTTCCACTTCGCGCCATGCCATCCCGCAACTGAAGCAGACCCGTCGTGATGGTGTTGCACGCGGTGCATACGTCCTTGAAGAAGCCGAAGATGCGGCCGTGACGCTGATCGGAGTGGGAGCCGAGCTATCCTTTGCACTGGAGGTTGCTAAGCACTTGAAGGAGACTCAGGGGACTGTGGCGCGGGTCATCAGTTTTCCGTGTCAGCGACTGTTCGAGCAACAGTCTATTGAATATAAGAGGGAGGTTCTGCGTAGGCATCAAGGTATCCCTGCTGTCGTGATAGAACCATACGCTCCCAATGGATGGGAGCGGTACGCCGATGCGGGAATCTCTGTTCGTCGGTTCGGCCACAGTTTGCCGGGCAAGGCTGCGTACAAGTTCTTCGGCTATGAAACCGGGGTGTTGTCGGCAAAAGTGAGCGCCTATCTTGATCGTCTGAAGAAGGGAGAAGCACTTAGAAGTGAGTTTGTTGATCTGTAAATAATGATACGATAAAGTTAATCATGTGACAATGCCATCCCGCTTAATTCGTGGGATACTAATCATCATCCCTCTCCCAGCTGAGAGAAATGAAAGACTTATGTGCGTTGGAGAAAGGGGGAAGCTGGGTTCAATAGCCCGAGAGCTGGGCGCGGTGGTCATCTCCCTGAGAAAAACCCTCTGCAGGGTGTTGATCGGCAGTGCAAGTTAGACGGTGTGGATATCTGAGACAAGGTAGACGGTGAGCGGCCTAGACCAGTGCTAGTGATGTGAAAATGAAGCTGGAAGTATCGGGATTGGAGGCGTAGACGGCAGCCTGAGCCTGGTGCAGTGGTGAGAGGGTCTTTCCCATTTAAATGCTATACCTTCCTGTAGACTTCACCACCTAGCTCAACTCCATCGATCTACTTGTCAAATCCCACAAAGAACCTCACACCACTTGTCCGCAGCATGGCGCCGATATATATTCTCTATCTCCTGATCCTCGGATGGGCAGTGAGTACAGCTTCCATTCAGCTGCAGAATCTCGAACATACATCAGGAGAAGGAATCACATATGACCTGGGCGATGTCACCTACTTTGCAAACTCGCTGCATCCACAAGCAATAGGGCAGATTGGAAGTTCCAAAGGAAGTGAAGCAGCCGAGGCCAAGGCATACACGCCAATCACTGTGATCATCACTAACCAGAGTGTCGTCACGGGGGGTTTCTTGGAGGAGACAATTGACGCCTATCTGGCTGGAGATGATGTCTTCTTCGAGCAGTTCCTGACCTCGATCTATATCACTTCTACCTCTTCCATTCGATCCGTCACCATCGACAAGACGGCGCTGAAATACTTCGATCAGATTGGAGTCGACCAGCTCTATCTCGACGCTACAGTCTTCCGAAAAGCCCCCAGTCATGCTATCTCCGTACGTATGAGCAGTCAGAAAGCTCTACAGCCCGGACCGTATACGGCTCTATTGCTTGGAACGACAGTTCATTTTCTAGACACCTACAGGCTATACATCGACCAGTATCGCGACTTCATCACAGGAAGCTACCCTATCAATGATGGCCTGGACACTTACGCACCGCTGCTGTCCATGCACTCTCAGACCTGGGCTCCGATGATACCTGTTCCCAGTCGCATCCATTTCTGGAACGATCCTCGTCCACTGGCTGGGAAACGGGTGGCCATTAAAGACCTCTTTGACGTTAAAGGCCTCCAGACCTCAGCCGGCAGTCAGGCATGGATTCACACACATCCAATCGCCGATTCGACAGCGCCAGCTATCCAACGACTGATCGATCTGGGTGCAGTCCTCGTGGGCAAGTACAAAATGGCCCAGTTTGCTGCCAGCGCAAGCCCATGGGACTGGGTTGATGCACAACATCCCTTCAACCCCCGAGGCGACGGTTACCTCACCTGCGCCGGCTCGTCCTCTGGAGGCGGTTGCTCCATTGCAGCATACGCCTGGCTAGACCATGCCATCGGCACTGACACCGGCTCATCGATGCGCCGACCAGCAGCCGTCTCGGGTACCTACGGCAATCGGCCCAGCCAGGGTATGATGTCCCTAGAGGGAGCCGTGCCACTCAGCTGGGCCGGTGACACTGTTGGTGTCTTTGGGCGTGATCCACTCGCATGGTCTCAGTTCGCGAAATCATGGTATGGCAGCGAGCCAGAGCTGCATCAAAATACCTCCATCACCGGCCTTCCTCCACTTTCCCTGCCGAAGACTCATGCATTCCCATCACGCATCCTCTACCCAGATGAATACTTCCCCATGCCCAACCCCGCGGCACAAGACCTGCTCACCTCTACCCTCTCCCGACTAACCACCCTCTTCAACATGACAGTCACCCACTTCAATCTCAGCGCCACCATCACAGACGCCGCCATCTTCCCCGACACGACCGACAACTGGGACCGCCTCGCCAACAACACCATTGTCCTCACCACGTGGCCGCAGTACCACGACGTGGCCCAGCCCTTGATCTCAGCCTGGGCCGACCAGCACGACGGACGCTTCCCCCCCGTGGACCCCGGTATCCGCTACCTCTGGACGAACCTCGACTTCAACGTCACGAATGCGGAGAACTATGAGGCCGCCGTGCAGAGCCGAGCCGAGAGTATCGAGTGGTTTGAGCGCGAAATTCTCCGCTTTGATGCGGACGCCTGCTCCGAGGCGTTGCTCGTTTGCGATGCCGGGACTGGAGGGCTGCCCAGCTTCCGCGAGTCGAGGCTGAACGAGGACCCCAACGCGACGTTCCTGTCCTCGTACCCGGATGGGGCGGTGATTCCATGCGTGACCATTTGTGCGTTGTTCGGGTGAGTTTTTCTTTCTCTTAGGGCTGGTCCTCCGACCACGAAGGGTGTGCTAACAGTATGGTTGTCATCCAGCTGTGCGGACTTCACGATCCCGTTGGGACAGGTCCCGTACTCCTCGCCTGTGACGATGGTGACGGAGCAGTGGCCCGTAGTTTTCAATCTGATCGCGCGACGGGGCTGTGATTTCATGTTGTTTGATCTGGTGGAAAGGATGGCAGAGGAGGGGATTATCGCAGAAGTGAAGACGGGGAGGACTGCGTTTTAGACCCGGGTATGGTGGTAGTCAAAGGCGGGTTCACTCGAGCCTGGAGCGAGGTGTGCCTTCCACTTAATGTAACTATACGAGATGACACTCTCGAACAAACACAACCATCGATATCCACATCCACTGCACACCACCTGGAATTGTCAATGAGGTATCATTCTATGGACAAACAGACATTAAGATGACATATCACAGTTCATCATTATCAGACAGGAGAACCCATTCATATCCCTTGTATAAAACATCCCGATAGTCTGAGAAAAGAGGGGGGGAAAAGGTAAGGGAAAGTAATATGCACACATACCCATTAACAAGAATGGACAGAAAAGGTGAAAAGAAAGAAAGGACTCCTATATACTCCCATGACCCGACGAGGGGGGCGGGGAACCGCAGCTCCACAATATATCATATGAACAAGCAAAGCAGAAACAATTCGAAAGAAGAAGAGAGAGAGACGAGGGGGGAAGAGGGAGGAACGCAGCAGGGAACCAAACACACCAAGGTGTCAGCTACCCCATCAACCCGCCCAAGACGACGCGACTCACGCCCGCGATCTCCGTCTTGGCCTGCGTGCGACTGGAATCCTCGAACTCGCGCACAATCCCCGCGACCATGATCTTGCGGATCTTCGCATCGGCCTTGGAGAACATCTCGCCCATGGCCACCGTGCAGATACTGGGCGTGTAGACCAACGAGACCAAGCGGGTATAGCAATCGATTAGGACGTCGCACAGCGTGACGAAGGTCTCGAAGTAATCCGGCTCGAACGGGAGCAGGGGGGTCAGGAGGTAGGTGTATTCCTCGCCGGGGAGGAGTTCGGAGGCCTCGGTGTGGGGGAAGCCCATGGAGGCGGAGGAGGCGGAGGAGGCAGCTGCTGCTGCAGCGGCGTGGTGGTGGGCCGAAGCGGAAGCGCCGGACGAGGGGGCGCCGCCGGCCATGGCTTTCAGGTCGGAGGGGTCGGAGGACTGCATGGGGAGGCCGATCTCGGTGGCGGAGCTGGCGCGGCGGGCCTTGGAGGAGTAGGCGCCGGAGGCGTGGGCGGCGCGCTTGAACATCTGTGGGATGCGGGCGCGGGCGAGGGCGGAGGCGGTGGAGGAGGGCGGGCCGTCGGGCGGGTGCACCTGCTGGAAGGCCTCGAACTCGAGGAGGAGGGCGTTGAGGGCGCGCAGGAACTCGACGGGCGTCGTGCTGACGTCCAGGATCGGGGGCAGCGAGAGCCCCAGCAGCAGGAAGTTGATCGCCCGCCGCGACAGCTTGCGGGACTCGAAGTAGGCCAGCCGGCTGATGTCCGCCCGCGAGAAGTGCACCGTGTTGAACCAGTAGATCCGCCCCTCGTGCGCCTTGCGCAGGTACCCCAGCGTCGAGATGCGCTTCGCCGCCATGTCGTGGATGTGCTGGTAGACCGCCGCCGCGCTCTGCGGGCCGTACGACCCGTTCGTGCTCGTCAGGGGCGGCGGGAGCGTCCCCGCCGTGCTGCCATTGTGGCCGAGCCCAATTCCGCTGCTACTGTCATGGATGCTGGATTTGGTGTCGCGGCGGGTGAGACTCGGAGCGAATGATGAGGACATCATTGTGGCTCTTCCCGAGGGGGGAGAGGTGGGTGGAATTGGGGGGGCTTAAAGGGTGAGTTGAGCAAGAGTGGCAGGCTGTGGTGTGGCAGTGGCAGGCGGGGCGGCCTGCCCGCGTATCGTTGGAATTGGAATCGAGTATGCGATTGTAGTGTGATATTCTCTGGATTGGAGATGCAGTCAATGGAGCGTAAATGTTGTCCAGGGGGGCGAAAGAGAGAAACCGCCCGTGGAGTGAAAGGAGGACCGGGCCAACAACTGCCGGTAACTTAGTTTAAGTTGGTCTACTTTACTGGGGTGATTCTAAGTAGTTCTCCGCGCTCCACCGTTCACGTCAAACATTGCAAACACCACAAAACCACCTCCGCTCGGGTCACATGATGGCTTGGGGAAATCGTCTGGGATTTTCTTGTTTACGCCGAGGAATTACCCCCAGTATACAAAGAATAAAAGGTGGCCTACTATGCTCAAGTACTCATTACCAGCCATATGATAATTCATGAAATATTCAGGCTCATTTACTCCTCATATACTCTGGTACTTCTATATACGTTCTACTATCACAGCATGCACAAACACCGCAAACACCGAGCCTGGGAGAGCGGGAGCGATTGATAATCATAAACACAGATCTGTACTCCATCAACACCATCTCTAAAAATCGACCATGCAGGGTTACACCAAATCTAAGACTTTGGAGCTGGCGGTGACATCCATCGTCCATCTTTTAGCCAGACTCCAGCCCCTCCGTACTTGCCAGCTTCCGCTCCCTTGAGGAAAGCAAAGCGGAAGAAGAGATCCTCTGGTTGCGAGTCTTCGTCCTCACGGAGAATCTCCATATCCATCACATCACTGTCAATCAATGGCCGGTGGAATAATTCGAGTCCGTTATGTCCATGTCTATGCCAGATGAATTCTCCGCGCTTATCTTCGTCAAGGTATCCGCGCCAGCGCTCGACGTCGTTTACCAGAACTGAAATCCCATCCACGCCCAATTTGTTCATACGTTGTCGTTCCCAGAGAGTAAAGGTGATGTTGCCGTTGCCGTGATGGGTTTCGTGGGAGTCCAAGCCCGGCAGCGAAATGGCCACGGAGGAATCGGTGACGTTGGGGTAGGTGCCGCCCCACCACCCGTGCGCTCCACCGGGACCCGGGGCTTGCTCGCCCAAAGCCGCGGGTGTTTCAATGATCGACGCAAACCCCCACCGGGCAACGCCGTTGATGAAAAGACCCAGGAGTAAGCCCTGATAAATCAGAGATGGTCGAGTAGGAAGGGCTGTTCCAGGCATAAGGAGGATGGCGAGAATGTAGTGGTGGATGCGCAGGCGGAGACCCGGCAAAGGAAGCAAGATCAGAAGGATAAGACCCATCGTGCAATAGATCTTAAGATAGCGAGGCATCAAACCACCCATGCGAATCTGCCAGGCTTGAGTGAGGATGATACAGATGACCGTGGGAATGACAAGCGCCAGTGCTACTTTGGCTCCGGGCTGTTTCTGGATATCGTGGGGTGTTAGTCGTTCCAAGGGAATCAGCCTCGCAAAGGTATAGTTGTTCAGACCGCCAATGAACGCAGGTGGCAAGTAGAGCAGCGTCTTGGTGATCTGATAGACAGGCTTCGACAGCGGATCCAACAGCGGCCGAGCGCAGTACTTATATAGGACGTAAGCCACGAAAGAGGCCGGCAGCAGTCGTGACAGCAGGCTCGAGAGCAGATCGGCAAATTGGGTGAAAGAAGGCGGATCTGAGACCAGGCCCACCTGACAGAACAGCATGAAGAAGGTGCTAAAGAAAAGCACTGGCGGGGAGGTGCTAAAGATCCAAAGTACGCTCAGCACCCCAATGGTGATGCCAAGCAGCGGCCACCGAGGGTCTTGAGGGCATGTCGCCTGCGACGAAGACAGCTCCACGAAGCTGAAAGACTTGGGGAAGGTAGATGGAAATCCGACCGAGCGAATTCCATTCTGCTTCGACGGTGGGAACGAGTGCGCAGCACCTTCCAACTTCACCACACCACAGCCACCCACCGTGTTAGTGATAACACCAGCATGGATGGCCGCCTGACAGACATAGCTATCAGCCCGGTAGACACCGGGCTCATCCGAGCCGGGCTCCGGTCCTCCCACGACTAGGCCCCGATAACTATACGTCTCGTTGCCAACCATATGAGGCTCCAACAACTTGGCGTCGTGACAGTTGGCAGGACAGCGGAAGGCAATCGTTGACTCGGAGAACGGGCGACAGTCGTTTCCGTTCAGACCACATTCATTCCCGTGCGCCCTGAACCTAAATTAGCTCAATCTACAACACCACTTTGGCGCATCTCAGCTTACCAGAAGCTTGTTCGACAGGACAGTGTCTGCGGTCGCCCATATCCCTCAATATACCCTGCCTGCCGGGAGTGCCATAGCACCAAACTCCACGGCAAGAACCAGGCGACATACAGCAGCAGCAACAGCGCGATCTTCTGTTTGCGCTTGGGGAAGAAGCGCTCCAAGTAACGGACCGGAAGTTCCTGGATCTGTGGGAACAAGGGCCTCAGGAGCAGTGATCGCGGAGGACTGGGACCCCGGACCCATTCAGCGGTGGCTCGACCGACCTTCCGCAGCGGCAATGGTACCCAACCCCAGCGAAAAGATTTGGATGATTCCCGTAGCCAAACGGGCAGATATCGGAGGGCCGCTTCCTCATCCTGAGGCGGATCGGAAGCGTCGGGATCGACCGAACGAGCCTCTTCATCTTCGAGCGACGGCGGAAGATACGGCCGAGAAGTGTCCTCAGGACCTTCGCCGAGCATTGTCTTTGTGATGAGACGATAGTGTGCAAGCGGAGGGGCGATAGAGTGATAGATGGAAAGTAGGGTTCTGAAGGAAAGCGACGTATCTAAGTGGGGGGGCGAACGGCGGAGGGAAGAAGCTAAGGGCCTAAGGCTCGGTGCAATCTAGATCGGATCCCAGCCGCAATGAGACCCTTTCTCAGTCAAGAGAAAAGAGACTAATGCGGGTATGCAGAAATGCAGAATATATGACGCCGTGTTGGGGGGGAGGAAAGAACCACAATAGAAACACAATAGGTAATAGAAGAATTGTCCAGAGAGAAGTAGGAAGACAAGAGAGAGAGGGAGAGGTGTGCATGAAAGAGAGAGAGAGAGAGAGAGAGAGAGAGGCAAGAGAGGCCTGGCGCCCGCTGGCAGCCGGACAGGCAGACAGTCTAAGCCTTCCAGCCTTTAAGGTTCAGGTTCCATTCCACAGCGAGAGTCACTCGCCCCAGTCTTCTGACCACCCACCATCGATTATGTCAGCCCCACTCTCCGCAGCGTTCCTGCGGAGTGTCATTATGTCAGCCGGCCCTTGTAGTTTAGTTACCTAGTATTGACTTGACATCCCCCTCACTTCTCACCCTCTCTTCAGGGGACTGCTTTTCCGCGGTGGCGAACTAACCGATGGGCAGAAGGACGGACACCCGCAGATTGTCTCAAAAATACCTGCTGAATCTTGATTATCTTCTATATATACAGTCATATTCTTGACAAGTGAAGGCATCCAGACACAAATCATACAAGACCTATAGACACACTGCGCCTCTCAACAACACAATATGTACCCGACCACTTGAAACCACCGGGAATATGAACCAAAAAATAATATAAAGAGAAAAGAGGGAAAAGGTCCCCTAGGAAAGGACACCGCAATATGTGAAAATGATATATAATGACCACTGTGTGGTATATAGATGCGACATCAAGCCGTCATTGCGGTAGCCTAGCCTCCGAGGAGCATCCAAGCGATCATGCCACCCCACGCACCAACAAAAACAATCGTCAAGATAGATGCACCGGCCTTGTCACCGGCGGTGATCTTCCGTGTCGCAGTCTTATCACCGGTGGTATCTCCTTTACCGGCATTCGGGTCACTGGTACTGTTACCGCCGGTAGTGGAGGTCACTGGACCGGACTTCTTCGTCGTAATGAGGACAGATGAAAGAACATTGGTGACGGCGATTTCTTCCTCCATGCCGTTCCATCCATCCCACGACTTCGGGTACCACCGTACACCACACGTGTTGTTGCTCATTCCGCTGCAAGACGCGGCAGCGGCCTCGGCGGAGCCCTGCAGCTTCGGCAAGATCTGGTCATATGTCGAGGGAACCACCAACGCCACAAACCCGAGCCATCCGCTAAGCAGGCCCTTGAAGAGGATTTCGTTGTCGTTGCAAACCTCCAGGGGTTCACAGAGTTCCTCAGACATGATGTTGCCGCCGTACTTGGACGGGAAGAATGTGGTCAGAGTGACGTTCAAAAGACCATCCACGGCGGTCTTCCATTTGGCCTTGCCCGTCTGCGATTTTGTCTCAGGTCAGCGTCCACACAACCAAAGGTCAGTCGGGTTTCGTCCTTACGTAGTTGTACATGTATGCGGCACCCATCAGATATGTTCCATAGTTGTAAGACCATTGGTTGTTGCCCTGCGTTGTGCAGCCGTTATCGATGTCGGTAGAGTCTGCAACGTTCCACGTTTCGTTATTCAACAGAGGAACAGATGCCGACCAATCGAAGATCTTCTCGGCCCAGTCGGCGTACGTATCGTTGTTCGTGTAACGGGCGAGACGGGCAGCCAGCTGAAACAAGCCTCCGTTCGAGATTGAGTTCTTCATATCGTAACCAGCCTCGTACGGCCAGATCTGCCAGCGCAGGCCGCCTCCACAGTTCGACGAGTCCCAGCGTGCGACTTGGGTGTTGTACACGCCCTGAGCAAGAGCGAGCCAGGAATATCCGTCGGTCGAATCGGCGAAGTCGATCTCCGCCGCGGTCATCGCCGCAAGGCCCCAGAACATTTGATCGTCGTTACCCTACCCAGATGCCTTATGTGAGATTCCGTCCGAAAGTCTGATCCCACGCGAGCCGGATTACATACCAGATAACTACTGTAGTTGCTCGGCATGTAGTCGCAATCACCTGCTTGCCATTGCATACCTTGGCGAACTTCATCGTTGTAGGTGCTGTCTCCGGTATAATAATAGTAGAGAAGCAAACTCATGAACAGCGCACTGCCTTCCCACCACTTGGTGGGGAATGCACCAGGAATTTGGCCGGTCTCATTGCCGTGGTACCAGGTCATTGACCCGTATGCTGTTTTGCTTGCCGCAGCCTTTATAGATGCTGTTGCGATAGACGATGGTCAGTGTTCTGTGTGACAGCTTATCCGAGAATGCCACAAGTTATCCCCGATTGGTATGGAAAGGTAGACGGCAGGCTGGAGGACGCGATAGAATCAAAGAGCGGAAGGCATACATTCACTGCTGATATCAATATCAATGGCATGAGTAACATGGCCGAAGAGAGCGGCATTTAAAAGCAGCCCTCCATGGAGAGCACCATGGAGGAAGCGCATGGTGGAAGGCGGCGACTTGGGAAGGCAATGGGGAAGGAAACGAGCGGCAGGAGGGTTCGGAGAAGCGACAAGAAAAAAAACGAAGGAAGGTTACGGTTGACCAGCGGGGATGGGAGCCAAATAGGCGAAACGATCGAGAGGGGAAGGGAAAGAAGGAAAAGGGTCGGAGAGAGAAGGATAAGTTAGAATTGAAACTGAGAACGGGACAGGGAAAGAGTGAAAGAAGGATGATGGCGTTTGGCCGCAGCGGCAGCAGTAAGTTGCCAGTAGCAAGCAAAGCATACCTAGGTAGGGACTGCAGCAGAAGCAGAAAATGGGGCCGGGGGGGGGGGGAAGAGAGGGGGGAGCGAGACCCAGCACTAGACTGCTCTGCTAGCCGCCAACCCGTCTCAGGTTCCAGATTTTGTTGTTTGATTATTTATTGTTACTCATTTTCTCAAGTCGGAAAGGAAAAAAGGAGATTACTAGCAGACCAGTGGCTAGCCATGGGGGGAAGAGGGACAATCGGGCGGACCACGTCAGCTTCGCTCGTGCAATGATCATTGAGAACCGTCCGGTTATTCTTGGAACAAATTGGGGACAGTGTGCCCATGGATGATGAATGGTGCGACAAGATTGTTCTGTCTTGGATCCAGGGTCGACTCAATCCAGGCTTTTTCCGTCTGGGTGCTTTCTTGTCTGGGACATGGCTTTGGTAGTTGTAACCAGTCTTCATTGCCTTTTTACACTTTCCTGCCCCTGGTGGACATCGGTATGCGGTCGGGTCCCAAGCTTTTTTGCCCAGCGTTGCCAATATTGCCAACCCCCGATCGGTCCGTGTCACAACACACAAGCATGAGGCCATGTGCCGCTGAAAAAAAGTAAGGGGTGAGACATGACATTTTAGTTGCTGGGCGGTAGATCTCGATCCTCCAGGCTGGCTGCGCAGGCTGGCTTTCTATCCTTGACTCAGCATGTCAGCACAGGTCAATATCTTATGTTTATTGAGCGATCGTATGTGAACACGAAGAAAAATAGATACTATGTATTTCTTCTTCCTCCTTGAGGCCACACTGACAGAGTTTTGCCTTGATGAAGGAGTAGCGAAGATCAACACGCACATCACAGCGATAGGCTCCCACTGCTGCCTTGTCTGCTGAGCATTGGGGGCCAGCCACCACTGCGTCATTTCCGAAAGCTGGAGGCAGGAAAATAGATACGAATACGACCAGAACCCGATCAACAAGGTTAACAAAGAAAGAGGTAGCCAAGTCAGTGTAAGACAACACTAAACACCGCTGCAAAAGATAATCTTAGTCGTGAAACCTGTTCTCACGGATGACAGAGAGTGTGGAAGAAGGTGATTGAAGTTGGGTGGTTTCGTCCACCCCCGCAAGGGCTCGCCATTGGCTCCACTGCCAACTATGTAGCGCTCTTACTACCTCGTCCATACAACAACTTCAGTTCGCGGAATTACACTCGAATGGTTAAATGGGTACGGTAAGCATGACTTGCGCATTTATTTCTAACAGGTCGCTTACAAGATGTGCGAACTATGGGTATCAGTAACAGCACTGCAGAGAGCCAGCCTGGTGGCATGAAAGGTTACAAGCAATTTGGTGCGAAATGTCAAATTTGGTCCAAGGAAAAGACAAACGTCGCTTTCCTTCCATGGACATGAGTTAGATAAGCATCCAGCTCGTGCTCCTCGTCGATGACAAACGAGATCTCGTTGCCTTTCTCGTCGCGGTCAGTACCCTCGATTTTTGTGATGACCGCGTCAGGATATCTCGCTGCAGCCAATTGCTGGAGTTCCGTCACTGATCTGGCGGTCAACTTATCCACCCAGGTCTTAGCGTCTCCATGCAATGGACTTTGGGGGTGGATGCGGAGATAGACGGGCACGTGCAAGAGGGACGACCCCAGCATCGGATCCACATAGCCAAAGGCATTGCCCGAGTCAGCATGAGCAGCGGTGGCAAAGGACGGGTCGTTCGCAGCTTGCAACAGAGAAGGGTCAATCTGTATGTCGCCCAAATCGGTGTTCGACACTGATGCACTGGCCAGGGCCTGCGAAGCCAGGGTGCTGATGCCATTCGCGATGCCACTGCCGAAGGTAGCACTGACGCTGACTGGGGGGCTCTCCAGATCCGGGCTGGGCACATGAGAGTGCGTGACCGACGACTTCCGGGCGGGATGTCGCTTGGTTTGGTCATCGCGAAGTCGTTTCATGACGTCGCGACAAAGGACCTCGAGGGCCTTGAGCTTGGTCGCATGCTCGGGATCCGCAGCGCCGGGGGCGAGGATGCGCCGTAGAAGCTCCGAGTTCTGGATCCATTGTTCCTTCAGTTCCTTCCAATGTTCGTCGCCCGCTTCCAGCTTACTGGTAAAATGATCCGCCTTGAGAGTATTGTAGAATGCATTCCGAATCTGACGACTCTCCTCCGGGTTGATGCCCAGAGCATTTTTCGCCTCGGCAATGGTCATCCGGCGCTCCAGCGTGCGCATCCGCTTCGTCACATCGGTACAGACAACATCCAGCGCCAACGACTTCACGTCCAGCTGATTCTGATCGTGAAACACCTGCTGGAGGTGATACGACTCCTGGATCAACTTGTTCTTCGCCTCCTGCCATCGCTCGGGCCCAGCCACCGTCTTCTTGATGAAGCCTGCCTCCTCACAGATCTGTTGAAACTGGTCCCGAATCTGCCGATACATCACATTATCCAGGTTCAGGTACTTCTTACTCTCGTCAATCGTCGTCTCCGAGGGAAATCGGGGCGGCCCTGGAGGATCCGCTGGCATGCCTGCCCATCCGCGCGTGCGCCGCCGTCGTTTCCGATTCGCCCACCGCTCCGCACTTTCTGCCTTCAACTTGTCCATTCGCTCTTTGCGCTTGGCCAGAGCCTCAGCCGACAAGGCTGGAGAGGCGGTCGGTGAAGTCGACGAGTCGTCGGTGGTGGCGACGGTGGTGGTGGTGGCAGCAGGGACAGCGGGGACAGCGGGGACAAGAGGCTCCTCGGGCTCTTCATACCCCAACCCAGACTTATACACCTCCTGCTGCAGCGCCAGGAGACCTTCATCCTCCGGTAATTGCGGCACGGGCGTCTGCATCATCCTCGACTGCGATTTCATGCCGTTGGGGACGCGAAGCAGCCAGCGGTTCTTGGCGCGCACGCGCATCAGCTCCCGCTCCTTGATCTCGAACCCTTCCTCGTTGAGCATGCGCAGCATGTCTCGTTGGCTGGTGTTCCGCTCCCAAAGCTGTTTGACGCGCGCCACGAGTTCGACATTCTTGTGTGCTGGATTCTGTTTGGACGGGAAACCCCATCGCTTGAATTGGGTTTGGAACGCTCGTTTACTGGGGGAGAAACAATTGGCTGTCAGTGAGACAAAAACGAGGAGAGAGAGAGAGAGACAAGCGGATCGGCGCGGGGAGACGGGTCGAGATTTCGGAAATCAAGGGTTCAATGATTAGATACACGAATGTCAAAAAGACTCACTCACCTCGGTGCAAATTGATAGACACTCTTCATATACTCCATGATCTCCTCGAGCGCCTTCTTGTCCTTAATATACATCTGAAAGCAGATTTCCCGCTTTCCCTCCCAATCGTACACCATCCTGACAAAGAAAAGCCGCGCGGCGGCGGCGAAAGCGGCACCTTTTCTTTTTCCCTCCGCAGGGGGAAGACGGCCGAATGCCCCAGGGGTGAGTGACACACCCAACGAAAGGGAAGGGAGGGAGGAAAGGCGAGGAACGCCTTCTCGCTCTCGACAAAAGAGAGAGTGAACGAGCTGGTGAGTGGAGTACGGGTTGTATAGATCGCCAAACAGACGTCGGTTGTCCTTGTTGTACCCCGTAGTGCGTCTGGCCCTGGAACAGTGTCCGGTGAGCTTTCTGGACAACCGTAGTAGGTTTCGCGTTGGCAGGTGGCTTTCGAAGGGGGTGAGACGGAAGTGTGTGGAATACGGAGAGTCATTGACACCAGGAGTGCGAGCCGTTCAGTGGGTCATGAGTAAAGCCCACGTGACTGGCATGTCATCATCGCCGGCCCACCTTTTCTGCCGGCCACGAGTCCCCCAGCTTCGGCAGGCGGTAATCAATTGAACAGTTTTCCCGGCTACTTTTTTCCCCTTGTACACCTGTAAAATCGCGCCGCGAGGTCGCGAGGTTCCTTAGTTTCTGCCACCTCTGGCGGTGACCTACGCGGTGAGGAACGCTCATTCTGCCCATAAGCAAAGGCGGTACGATGTTGAACAGTTTTCCAGATAACTTTTTTCCCTCTGTATACCTAGTGCAGAACGAATTCTAGTTACGAGGTTGCTTAGTTTCTGCCACTTTGAGCGGTGTCCAATGCGGTGAGAGTCTGCCAGCCACGCCCACTTCCCACACCACACCCAGTCCTCCCTTCCGCCCTCCCACCCCCCCAAAAAACCGGGGCCCGCCGATCCTCCGATTGCGGCGGTTTCTCTATCGGCCGTTTATAATGAGCTCGAGTCACACTTTAAACTCTCCCTGATTCTTGCAACACCACCTGCCTACTACAAATTCCGCAATTTCACCATGGCTGCTGCTGCTAGAACCCTTCGCATTGGTACGTTACTCTGATTCTGTGATGTTGTTGCATCGCGAGAGCATCCAATTGATATCCTCACTCCATCTATACAGGTCTCATCCCTGGAGACGGTATCGGACGGGAGGTCATCCCGGTGAGTCACTTTTCCCAGCAATGGTTGCAATTGCTGCTCAGCCACGACACCCCTAAACAAAACAAAAAAAAAAAAACTGACAACAAGCTCCAAACAGGCCGGTCGCCGCGTTCTGGAGGCTCTCCCCTCCTCGCTGAACCTGAACTTCAGCTTCGTCGATCTGGATGCCGGATTCGACACCTTCAAGCGGACCGGTACCGCTCTGCCGGACAAGACGGTCGAGACCCTGAAGAAGGAGTGTGATGGCGCTCTGTTCGGAGCCGTGAGGTAGGTTCCTGGCCCTGCCCCTTGATCCCCTAACCCCGCCTACCATCCCCACCATACTAACCCAAGCCACGAAACACAGCTCCCCCAGCACCAAGGTCGCCGGGTACAGCTCACCCATCGTCGCGCTCCGCAAGAAGCTCGACCTGTACGCCAACGTGCGGCCCGTCAAGACCACAGCCGGGGGCAGCCACAACGGCAAGCCGATCGACCTGGTGATCGTGCGCGAGAACACGGAGGACCTGTACGTGAAGGAGGAGACGACGCGCGACACGGCGGAGGGCAAGGTGGCCGAGGCGATCAAGCGGATCTCCGAGCGGGCGAGCTTCCGCATCGCCAGCATCGCGGGCGAGATCGCGCTGCGGCGCCAGAAGATCCGCACCGCGGGTCCCCCGGGACTGTCCACGACCGCCCGCACCAGCCCGATGGTGACGATCACGCACAAGTCGAACGTGCTGTCGCAGACGGACGGGCTGTTCCGCGAGACGGCGCGGCGCGCCCTGGCCGCGGACCGGTTCGCCGGCAGCGTCGAGGTCGAGGAGCAGATCGTCGACTCGATGGTCTACAAGCTCTTCCGCCAGCCCGAGTACTACGATGTCATCGTCGCGCCCAACCTGTACGGCGACATCCTGTCCGACGGCGCCGCCGCCCTCGTCGGCAGTCTGGGCTTGGTGCCTAGCGCCAACGTGGGCGATGGCTTCGCCATCGGCGAGCCCTGCCACGGTAGCGCCCCCGACATCGAGGGCAAGGGCATCGCCAACCCCATCGCCACCCTCCGCAGTGTCGCCCTGATGCTCGAGTTCCTCGGCGAGGAGGCCGCCGCCGCCAAGATCTACGCCGCCGTCGACGCCAACCTCGATGAGGGCAGGTTCCTCTCCCCCGATATGGGCGGGAAGGCGACCACCCAGCAGGTTCTGGATGATGTCCTCAAGCGTATGTAAGAGGATAACGCTGCGGTTTGGTGTATATTAGCGAGAGGTAGGGATTGGGTAGAAGTACACAAAAAGTAGGAACAATTGCGGTTTTGTATGCTAGGTATAGCCGAATTGGGGAAAAGAATTGATGTTCATGCTGTTAGCGACTCGTCTGTGTGGTGTACAGTAACTTAGGAGCTTGAAGTAGTTAACGGCGCCTGAACAGATTTTATGTCTGGTATTAGCATTCGGTCCGTCCACACTCAGGAGGTTGACGTCGCACAACCTACGTAGTGCATGTCCGTCAACGCCTGTCCACATTTCAACAAACTCGGTAGCAAATTGGCCACATTCCTTGATTTCAATATATATAAGAGTTGGGTTGTGTATCCAAAGCCCAAAGGCTTGCTGCCCAAGACCATAACATCTGATATGACATTCAGACTGCAACCACCTCGGCCCCGATCCGTACTTCAGCCTGGATCTTCTGTACTGTACCAATGAGTAGCCGCGTGCCAAAGCCAAATCTTGTAAGTGCAGTACCATCGCAAGCCCATACGTAAATCAATAAATGCAAAACATACAACTCATATCTCATCTTTCTCGTGTTCTCGGTCAGAGCAAAAATATCCAAAATGCCCCCGAAAAGCGTATATACACCGAGGTCAACTATACAGACATCGAGATAATCGACTACCAGAAAGAAAGTCGTCGTCAAACAACGGAGAATCAAACCAAAATATCAGCTCAATCACTCCAACCGGATCCGCCTCTGATTCCACCGTTCCCGCGCCCGCTCAAACAGCGTCGGCAACTCATACCCCCAATGGCAGAGCATGCCGGCCACGAAGCCGACGGCATCGTTCTTAAACCCGACCAACAACCCCACGGTGACCATCATGACGGTCCACCTGCGCTTCCGCTCCCAGTCGCTCAGCATCGGGCCGATCTCCTGCGCGCCGTCGCCGGCGAACCCGTGGCTTGCCTTGCGGATATCCCGCGCCCCGGTGGTGTTCAGCGACTCGCCCACGCTGACTAGTTCCAGGCCGGCGGCGATGACCATCACGCCAAGCAGGGCGGTGGGGAAGCGCTTCAGCAGGCCGACGAGGGACTCACCGAAGAAGACGCCGATGATCAGCTTGAGAGCCCCCAGGATGATGACGCTGGCGCCGGACCGGGCGCCAAAGCGGTACTGGGCCGCCAGACCGCCGGAGCCGTGGCAAACGGGCATCGCGCCGAACCAGCATCCGATGAGGTTCATGCCAGCCACGCTGAGGCCAACGGAGGTGACGGAGGGGGTCTCCAGGGTTGGGAGGAGGTCCCCAGCCAGGTGAACAACGGCGACGACGGAGTTCAAGGTCGTCAGGGGGATCTGGCCGACACCCGCGTCTAGAGCGCCGATGCGCCATTCGTGGGCGGATGGGATGACGGTATGGGGGTGCCAGAAGATGAGAGAGGGGAGGTCGGAGGCCAGCGCACTGCCGATGACTGCAAACGAGAGCCCTAGGATGAAGACGAGCAGGGCGTAGGGCACGTTGCGGTAGACGTTGGTGATGATCAGGAACAGGAAGGCGGCCACGGCCCAGATGCGGTTGTCAGCCCAGGACGGGTATAGCCATCCGAGGGACGAGAGAATCGAACCCCCTGACGCGATGATCAAGGAAAGACCGGCTCCAACTTGAATGCCTTTGATGACGGGAATGGGGATGGCATTGGCGAACCAGTTCAGGAGTCCGGTTATACTGAAGAGGAAGACGCAAGCCCCGACAAAGATACCGGCGGCGGCGATGGCTCCGTTGGTGAAAGTGCGAGCAATGGCCACGGCAGCGATGGCTTTCATGGGCTGTACGGGTAATGGAATCCCGAAGAAGAGGCCTGTTAGAATGTTAAACAGACCGGAGAAGATGAGAGTGCTAGAAAGAGAGACAGTGCCATTGACAGCGAGGGCGATGGCAATAGGCAGGAAGGTGCCCAGATCGCCCAGAGAGCCGGAGACCTCCGACACATAGTGATGTCGAAAGGTGTGGAAATTGTGCGAGGTCACTCGACGGAGATTCATGGTGAGAGAGAATGGGGAAGGAAATATACGGAGAGATACATCCAGAGGAGTGGGTGGGGAAGTACTCAGTGGCAGTAAAAGAGAGGAGGACAGAGAGAAAAGAAGCAGGGCAGGGAAGCTGAGACAATGAGGAGAATGATGATGGAACCGATGGAACCTCGTATCGGGTGAAGAGGGAGGCGATAAGCTGGGGTGGGATTGTTTAGATTGTTTTAGGATTGGCTTCCATTCCCCGCACGGCACAAGAAGGAGTGAACTTAGACTACCTCCCAGTACTGTATACTGTATACTGTATAGATCAGTTCCAATCTGCTGTCAACTTAATTCCTAACTTAATCCATTTATCTGTTTATCTGCGGAAAAAGCAACCCCACAAACAGAAAGACAAGACAACACAAGACAAACAGGGAAATCCAGGGAAACAAACAACGCTGACACAAACCGGAACCACTTCCGCCTGTCATCCGTCGGCATTCTCATCCGGTCCACTCAGGTTAACTTATAACTTAGTATTCTCCGATATACCAAGCCAACTCATTATATACAATCTTCACGATACTCTTTTATCTGTATACTTCCCATTAACACCACCTCATGTACATTCGAAGTAGAT